AGTTCATTGATGTCTGTGGTCAAAGGACAAGGCAGAGACTGAAATATGCAGAAAATCTGTGAAGTAGTCTGACTATTAGAAAGATGGCTGATGGTGCTGAGAATGACTGTATCCACAAAGAATTGGAAGGAGTCTGGTAGCATCTTTTCTGACTAACTAATTTTATTAAAACGGATAATAAAAACTTCCATGAGCTGCAACCATCATAGATTGTCACAACTCTTCTCCTGCAGTGTAGCCACAAAGGTGACCTATAAAATATCTGTTACATTATAAGGAATATTTGGGGGTCTCTTCAGTCTTTAAAAAATGCTAGCAAAAGTCCTGAGTTACAGGGTGGAGTGATGAATTGGACAAGATGCCCATCCATCCTTTCAATTTGACTTTATGACATAATGAATATTCAGCTTTTATTTTTTAAAAATCTTGATTATACTTCCAGAGGTATTAAGAGGGAAAGATAAACATTATTTGATGAAGTACATTTGTTTCCAGCTTCTGGAAACCCCATGGAGAATACCACAAATGTTTAGCATTATTTTTAAACTATTTATTTGTTGGACTTACTTTTGTTTCAGGGTGATTTTTGGTGTCCTCCATTTCCCTGGTTTTTATCCTTCATCTCTTTCACTGTCAAAGCTATGGAACTATGCTTCCTAATGCTACTGACATTTCTTCTACCTTTGGAGAGTTCATATCACCTGCCAATACTCTCCTGTTTCTTTTCACAAACTCTTCTGCTACGTAGAAATGAAAGCTGGGATTCTCAGAGAGCTTTATTCAGCCCAGCTATTAGGGATGGAGAGATCACTTAGTTTCTGGAATTTGCCAGATGGCTCATGCATCCGTCTGCTCCATCCACTTTCTGCATTTGTTTGCTTTCTAATCACAGAAAAATTCAATACTTTAAACTTTTCTTTTTTTTACAGAACACCTTTTTGTACACATTTTCTGTCAGATAGGCACTTTTGTAAACATGGGATACTAAAATTCACATTTTTGTACTTTTTTTGAGCCAAGACCTGCATCACACTATCCAAAGACTTGTTTATACTAAAGGATCTTGACCTATGAGCCCAGGAAGGGCAAACCAATCCCT